CCAGTGTATAATGTTCCCCTCCCTGTGTCCATGTGTTCTCATTGTTCAACACCCATCTATGAGTAATAACGTGGTATTTGGTTATCTGTTCTTGTATCAGTTTGCTGAGAATTATGGTTTCCAGACTCATCCATGTCCCTGCAAAGGACATGAACTCATCCTTTTTTATGGCTGCGAAGTATTCCTTGGTATATATGTGCCACATTTTCTTTATCTAGTATATCATTGATGGGCATTTGGGTTGGTTCCAGGTCTTTGCTATTGCAAACAGTGACACAATGAACATACATATGCATGTGTCTTTATAATAAAATGATTTATAATCCTTTGGGTATACACACAGTAATGGAATTGCTGGGTCAAATGGTATTTCTGTTTCTAGATCCTTGAGGAATCCCCACACTGTCTTCCACAATGGTTGAACTAATTTACACTCCCACCAACAGTGTAAAAGTGTTCCTATTTCTCCACATCCTCTCCAGCATCTGTTGTCTCCTGATTTTTTAATGATCACCATTCTAACTGGCATGAGATATACCATCTCATACCATCTCAATGTGGTTTTGATTTGCATTTCTCTAATGACCAGTGATGATAAGCATTTTTTCATATATTTCTTGGCTGCATAAATGTCTTCTTTTGAAAAGCATCTGTTCATATCCTTTGCCCACTTTTGGATGGGTTTGTTTATTTTTTTCCTTGTAAATTTGTTTTTGTTCCTTGTAGATTCTGGATATTAGCCCTTTGTCAGATGAGTAGCTTGCAAAAAGTTTTTCCCATTCTGTTGGTTGCTGGTTCATTCTAATGCTTGTTTCTTCTGCTGTGCAGATGCTCTTAAGTTTACTTAGATCCCATTTGTCTGTTTTGGCTTTTGTTGCCGTTGCTTTTGGTGTTTTAGTCATGAAGTCCTTGCCCATGCCTATGTCCTGCATAGTATTGCCTAGGTTTTCTTCTAGGGTTTTTATAGTGTTTTGTCTTATGTTTAAATATTTAATCCATCTGGAGTTAATTTTTATACAGGGTGTAAAGAAGGGGTCCAGTTTCAGCTTTCTGCAGATGGCTAGCCAGTTTTACCAACACCATTTATTAAACAGGGAATCCTTTCCCCATTGCTTTTGTCAGGTTTATCAAAGATCAGATGATTGTAGATGTGTGGCTTTACTTCCAAGGCCTCTGTTCTGTTCCATGGGTCTATATCTCTGTTTTGGTACCAGTACCATGATGTTTTGATTAAAGTAGCCTTGTAGTATAGTTTGAAGTTAGGTAGCATGATGCCTCCAGGTTTGTTATTTTTGCTTAGGATTGTCTTGGCTATGTGGGCTCTTTTTTGGTTTCATATGAAGTTTAAGATGGTTTGTTCCAGTTCTGTGAAGAAGGTCAATGGTAGTTTGATGGGGATAGCATTGAATCTATACATTACTTTGGGCAGTATGACCATTTTCACAATATTGAATCTTCCTAACCATGAGCATGGAATATTTTTCCATCTGTTTGTATTCTCTCTTATTTCCTAGAGCAGTGGTTTGTAGTTCTACTTGAAAAGATCCTTCACATCCTTTGTTGGTTGTATTCCTAGGTATTTTATTCTCTTTGTGGCAATTTGTGAAAGGGATCTCTGTTTGGCTGTTATTGGTGTATAGTAACACTTGCGATTTTTGCACATTGATTTTGTATCCTGAGGCTTTGTCAAAGCTGCTTATTGTCTTAAGGAGATTTTGGGCTGAGACTATGGGGTCTTCTAAATATATCATGTCATCTGAAAATAGCGACAGTTAGACTTCTTTTCCTAAGGGAATACCCTTTATTTCTTTTTCTTGCCTGATTGCTCTGGCTAGAACTTCCAATACTATGTTGAGTAGGAACGGTGACGGAGGGCACCTTTGTCTAGTGCCAGTTTTCAAAGGGAATGCTTCCAGTTTTTGCTCACTCAGTATGATGTTGGCTGTGGGTTTGTCATAAATAGCTTTTATTATTTTGAGATATGTTCCATCAATACCTAGTTTATTGACAGTTTTTAGCATAAAGGGGTGTTGAATTTTGTCAAAGGCTTTCTCTGCATCTGTTGAGATAATCATGTGGTTTTTGTCTTTGGTTTTGTTTATGTGGTGGATTACGTTTATAGACTTGTATGTTGAACCAGCCTTGCATCCCCAGGATGAAGCCTACTTGATTGTGATGGATAAGCTTTTTGATGTGCTGTTGCATTTGGTTTGCCAGTATTTTATTGAAGATATTTGTACTGATGTTCATCACAGATATTGGCCTGAAATTTTCTTTTTCAGTTGTGTCTCTGCCAGTTTTTGGTGTCAGGATGATGTTGGTCTCTTAAAATGAGTTACGGGGGATTCCCTCTTTTTTGTATTGTTTGGAATAATTTCAGAAGGATTGGTACCAGCTCCTCTTTGTACAACTGGTAGCATCCATCTGGACCTGGACTTTTTTTGGTTGGTAGGCTATTGATTGCTGCCTCAACTTCAGACCTTGTGATCAGTCTATTCAGGGATTCGACGTCTTCCTGGTTTAGTCTTGGGAGGGTGTAAGTGTTCAGGAATTTATCCATTTGTTCCAGATTTACTGGTTTATGTGCATAGAGGTGTTTGTAGTAATCGCTGATGGTAGTTTGTATTTCTGTGGAATTAGCTGATATCGCCTTTATCTGTTTTATTATATCTACTCTATTCTTCTCTCTTTTTTATTGGTCTGGCTAGTGGTCTATCCATTTTGTTCACCTTTTCAAAAAACCAGCTCCTGCATGTATTGACTTTTTGAGGGCTTTTTTGTGTCTCTATCACCTTCAATTCTGCTCTGATCTTAGTTTTTTCTTGTCTTTGCTAGCTTTTGAATTTGTTTGATCCTGCTTCTCTAGTTTTTTAAATTGTGACGACAGGATGTCAATTTTAGATCTTTCCTCCCTTCTTATGTGTGCATTTAGTGGTATACGTTTCCCTTTAGACACTACTTTAAATGTGTCCCAGAGATTCTGGTACATTGTGCCTTCATTCTCATTGGTTTCCAAGAACATCTTTATTTCTGCCTTCATTTCATTATTTATCCAGTAGCCATTCGGGAGCAAGTTGTTCATTTTCCATGCTGTTGTGAGGTTTTGAGTGAGTTTCTTAATCCTGAGTTCTAATTTGATTCCACTGTGGTCTGAAAGAGTGGTTGTTATGAGTTCTGTTCTTTTACATTTGCTGTACCTTCTCTAAGTTCTTGTTCCTTCCATCTAATATGGTGATCTGGAATGAGATATTTAACCTCATTCAGCTTTTTCCTCTGTAATATCAGAGATTTAGACTAAGTCAATAGTTTTCAACCTTTGCTACACATTACAACTGCCTGAGAAGCTTAAAAAGCATCAAAAAAACTAATGCACAGGCTGCCTCCCCAGACTAATTAAATCAGACCCACTAGGGTGGGGTTCAGGCTTTATTTACCTTACAGATTGATTCGAATGTGCCACCAGAGTTAAGAATCACTGGAAGTGTGATGGTTCGAATCTCTTCCAAGTCTTAAAAACTCAAAAGCATAAGTCTTAATTCTAGACCTCATCTTCTCCGTTTTGGCCAAAATTACAACTTTTTCAGTGGCTGTGACTGACATTTCAGATTCCTGCTCACTAGGTTCTTTTCTCTTTCCCTTCAATCCTCTCATTTGGAACAAAAAACCAGTACAGTGAGGTCTTGAAATTACAGACTTGTAGAAATTAAAAGAAAGTTTGTAAGTTCCCTGAATCCCTTTACTCCTTTTATTGATCAAATAGAGGTAAAGAGGGTATTATGAGGATCTGATTTTTCTTAGCCGCACCAACAAGACAGGGAGTAGTAGCAAAGTGAGGAAGCTAGAGATTCTGATACCCAAGGAAGCTCCCAAATCAACTGCTTGCCAGCTTGGATAAGAATCAGGTTGAGGGCCTTGGCCTAATCTATGAACAGGACTCATTTATTTTTGCATGTGAGCTATAATCACTGGTTGTTGAGCCCTCCAAATCTTGAGCTAGGAGAATTGTTGTTAAGAGCTGAATGGAAAAGAACGGATTACACACAATAAATCCTTGCAGATACAAAACCAACACCAGAAAACCCATGACCATCATGCTTGTTTTGTTGGGCTATGGACTGCAGGAGTTCACTTAGAAAATGCTTTAATACGTATAAATAGCAACAAGGAGATGGCAGATAGAACAGGCTTTAGGTATAGGATGAGTGCATATTTTTTGAAACAGAGGGAGAATCATCTCATTAAGTAGGTTTTTAATGATTCTCTATGGCCAAATTTGTCTCACTTTAGTTAATGATTTCCTAGGCAAGCTTATTTTCTCTGCTGTCTTTCATATTTCCCTGTAAATGCTGCAAGACTGACTCTGGACCTCACCTCTCCAGCAAGGAATTTGAGGAAAGACTCACTGATATTTAAAAAAAAAAAAAAAAAAAAAAACATAAAAGGGATGGTTTGTACTCTGATTTTGTGAAACCAAATCATTCTGACAGCTGTAGGCATTGTTGTAAGTAGGCACCCCATCATTGTCAAATTAATCCTGAATCAGTTCCTTTAGTAAGCATGAACAGAGCGAATATAGTAACTACAATCTGAATTAAACAACTCCTGTCTCAGGAACCCTGGTTGTGAGAACTCTTGATAATAACTGTTTAAACTGAGTGGGATTTTCTCCTACTAATTTCTTAATAAAAATGCCTAAAAATTTGGCATAGCTGAATTGTCACAACAAAAGTAAGGAACAAAACTAAAGGACTCTGGATGGGACAGACAGATCAGACTGGGTCTTTATGCTCCAGATGTCATGGTCACCAAACGATTGAATAAAATTATTTTTAGGTTCATGCAATCAGTTTTCTGTGGAACAGAGATGAATACCTCGGAGGCCACGTCCTTCTGACACCCTTAGACAAAAGTTTGACAGGGATAGTAGGGAAATGTTATGTTTTGAAGAGTTTTGTCCCAAGCAAACATTTTAATTTCAAATGTTTTGCCCTTAAACTTAGATCTTCCACCTCCTGCAACCCGAGAAAGACCACCAGGATGCAAAACAGTATTTGTGGGTGGCCTGCCTGAAAATGGGACAGAGCAAATCATCGTGGAAGTTTTTGAGCAGTGTGGAGAGATCATTGCCATTCGCAAGAGCAAAAAGAACTTCTGCCACATTCGCTTTGCTGAGGAGTACATGGTGGACAAAGCCCTGTATCTGTCTGGTAGGTGTTTAGATGTGGGGATTCTGCCCACCTGGCCAATATAGAGATTGATAGGACTATTTGTCTGTAGCAGCTAAGTTTGGGCTTAGTATTACCTGCTCTTGCCTTCAGAGATGGAAACTGAATGTTGCCATTCAACTTCTTCCTTTAAAGCACTTCAATAGCTCCCAATTGTCTATGGGATAACTCCAGACTCCTCACAAGTGGCATCTGAAGGCCTTGACTGTGTGCTCTACCTCTTAGAGGGATCTTCTGATCCTTCCTTCCCTCACACACCATGTCCCAACCACACTAAGTGAACTCTACTTTCCAGAATGTGCCATGGTGTTTTATCAGCTTGCCTGCCAAACACACCCCATAAAGCTCCAGCTCAGGCACACCCTCCTCTGGAAAGCTGTCTCTGACCTGTCTCCCTACTCTGCCCAGCACTGCTTTAGGCACTCCTTCCTTAGGGCTTTCACAGCACCTGGTGCTTCCTCCCAACATAACACCTACTGACCCATGCTAGAACTGTCTCTTTCCACATCTGTCTCCCCTACCAGTGTGTGAAATCTTTAAGGGCAGGGACTATGTCTTATTCAACATTGAATCCCCAGCACCTGGCACACACGCTAGCACAAAAGTAGATGCTCATAAATAGTTATGGAAGTCAGTTAGTTGTCAAATATTTATTGACTGCTAGGCAGAATGCTAGGTTACTGGGGATACAGCTAAGGCTGAGGCAGATAGGCTTCCAGCCATCAAGGATATTACATTCTGGAATGGCAAAATATATATGAAAACAAATAAATAAGTTACTTTCAGTACTGGTAAGTACTCCTAGGGAGATAAAAAAGGTTAATGTACCCAGAGTTGTTAGGAAAGGAAGTCTTCTCTAACATTTGAACTGAGACTTGGATAATGTGAAGAGAGATTGCCCTGTGAACATCTTGTGGAAGAGCATTCCAAAGTAAGGAACAGCCAAGGGCCCTGAAATAAAATGGAGTTGGCATGTTCAGGCAGATGATAGAAGGTTAGTATGACTGGAGCATAGAAAATGAGAGTTGGGGTGGAGGGAAATGAAGTCTGAAAGGTAGGCAATACCAAATCATGTTGAGTCTTATGAACTATGACAATGAGTTTTATTCTGGAAGCCACTGTTGGAATTAAGGAATTCAGTGACATGATCTGATTTACATTTTAGAAATGTTACTTCTGAGCAGAAGGTGGGCTAATTGGTATGAGCAGGGGTAGTGACTGGGAACTAAGTTAACCGGCTGTAATATTAGTCTAACCCGGAAGTGATAGTGGCTTGTATAGTACAGCAGTTGGAGTGAAGATGGTAAGAGCTATCTCCTGTTTATAGTAAAAATTCCGATTTAGGGTGTGTCTTAGTCCATTTTCTGTTGCTTATAAAAGAATACCTGAAACGGAGCAATTTATAAAGAAAAGGAAATCATTGTTTACAGTTATGAAGACTGGAAGTCTAAGGTCTAGGAGGCACATCTGGTGAAGGCCTTCTTGCTAGTGGGGTCTCTCTGCAGAGAGTTAGCTCAGGTCTTTCTTCCTCTTCTTATAAAGCCACAAATCTTACTCTCCTGAGAACCTGCTAGTTCATTAATGGATTAACCCATTCATGAGGACAGAACCCTCATGACCCAATCACCTCTTAAAGGCCCCAGCTCTTAATACTGCCACATTGAACTACTTCCTTGACTAACAGTAATGGTTTGGAAGAATTGAATCTAAGTGCTAGACATTTTATGATGACAGCATCATTATTCATATAACAGGTGCTTATTGAACATCTTATTTGTGTAAACTATTGTGCTAGGTGCTGTGCAGAGTAGAAAATGAGTAAAAACTAGTTCTTCTCCTTAATGAACTTAGAGTTAGTATGTAGCCATACATTTATTTATTAAAGAAAAATGTATTTAGTGCCAAGCATTACTAAATACACTGATATAATACACACACTGCTAATAAGAGATTAGAAGTGACAAGTGCCATAGAGGAAGAAGTGAGGGATAAAGGTAGGAGACAGAGAATGAGAATATTTCTGACTCCTAAATGGGGGCACCAGGAAAGGTAACTTTTGGACCAACTCTTTGACAAAGGGAAAACATTTGCTTGTGGACAATGGGACATAAAAACAGCATAACGAAAGTATAAAGTGGTAAGCTTTGGCAAACATTCAGGAAACAGTGAGTAGTGGTTTGTTTACTAAGTAGACATGAGAGGAGGAGGCAGACATCAGTTATTAGCACACTCCAAAAGGCTTAACAGTTGGGTCTTTACTCCTCGGGTACTAGGAAACTGAAGAAATTTTTGAACAAGGAAGATAATTGTTTCTGCAAGATTAATTTGACAGCTCTGAATAAAACTGTATTAGAGGAGAGATGAAAAAAGAGGAGAGGAGGTCAGTTAGAAGCCTGTTGTAATAGGCAGAGGAAAATGTAACAAAGGTTTGAAAAAGTAGGCTAATAACATCGGGAAGGAAAGGAGGAGGTAGATGGAGAATACTCTTACTACAATTGCTAAGTGCTATAGAATCTAACTACTGAAAATTCGACAGCACTTAACAATGATAACAGAGCATTCCATGAGACTGTTTAAATAAGAAAATAAAGGTCTCAAAACACCCTGCCTAGTTGTACTTAAAAGACAATATACTGATCAGGAAGCATCCATCTAAACATCACCAAAATCAGCTCTCTGTTAACAGCCACCTCCTAGATACATTCTTAAGGCTTCCAAAAGAAAGAGGATTTCAATCAGTCATATGAAAACAACTAAATTTTTCCCTTTAAATTTGAATCTGTCCCCTGAAAGTGCACAAGTGCTACCAATCTCCTGAATGGGGTGGCTGTTATCTCATTTTGTAAAAGAAAGCAATTAAAACAAACAAACAAAAATCTCTTACAAAAGAGGCTAGAAAATGTGGAGATAATCTTTTTTTTCCTGATGGAATTGGAGCACCTTTAGGCACTGGCACTGTGCACAGGCACCCACCCCATAGCTTTGTAGTATCTTTAGTGAGGTTTAGGTAGAGGTTTCATATCATCCTATTATTTGATCCTCTCTACAGTTCTGGGAGAGTAGGAAGTAATCATTAATATCCCCATTTTTCTGATAGCTCAGATGATCAAACAAGATGAATGGATGTGCAAATGTATTATAAACTGTAAAGAGCTCTATAAAGTTTTGCTTAGGAAATGTATTCATTTTTCCTTTTTCTAAAAGGGATGTATGGCAGTTTTAGCATTACATGGTAATATTATTCTTTGTAACAGCTTTAATTAGCTATAATAATTTAATTTTAATGAGGTGTAATATTGACATAGAACAACCTTAATGTATTTTTAAAATACAATTATATAATATTCTATATATGTATTCAGCTGTGAAACCATCACTAACAATGAAAATAATGAATATATCTACTATCTCCGAAAGCTTCCTGTACACCCCTTTTGTAATCCTGTCCTTCTACGCCTCCCCACTCCACCTTCAGGCAACCATTTATCTGTTCTCTATCAGATGAGAGTGCATTTTCTAGAACTTTATATAAATGGAATCATACATTATGTATGCTCTTCCTTCCTTTCTATAGATTCAGATTTCTACTTGGTATCATTTTCCCTATGCTTGAATTTCCTTTAATATTTTTTGTAGAGCAGATCTGTTCCCAATGAATTCTTTCAACATTGATTTGAAAAAGTATTTCATCTTTCTTTTTGAAAGATGTTTTTCCTCTTCCAGATGTTGTTCCACCATTTTCTTGTTTGCATTGTATCCAACAAGAAACGTGATGCTATCTTTATCTGTGTTTCTCTGTGCATATTGTGTCTTTTGTCCATGGCTGCTTTTAAAATATGTGTATTATTGCTGGTTTTGAGCAATTCAATTATGATATGCTTTGGTGTGATTTTCTTCTTCTTTCTTATGCTTGGGGTTCATTGAACTTTTTGGATCTGTTAGTTTTGATCAAATGTGGAAAATTTTCTCCCCTTATTTCTTTAATTTATTTCTGTTCTGTCCCCTCCCTTTTGGTGCTCCAGTTAGGCATATATTAGGCCCCTTGAAGTTGTCTCCCAGCTCACTGGTATTCTCTTCCTTTTTTCAGTGTTTTTTTCTTTCTGTATTTTATTACAGATAGTTTTATTGCTATGTCTTCAAATTCATTCTTTTTTTCATTATTGATTCAGAAAGTACCTGTGCAAGTTTGTTGTCTGAATATATTATGTAATAGTGAGCTTTGGGCTTCTAGTATACCCATCACCCAAATAGTGATTATTGTATCCAATAGTTAATTTTTAAGCCTCATCCTCCTCCCACATGCTTCACTTTTGGAGTCCCCGGTGTCTATTATCTATCTTTATGTATACCCATTGTTTAGCTCCCACTTATAAGTGATAACACATGGCATTTGATTTTCTGTTTCTGAATTGTTTCACTTAGGGTAATAGCCTGCATTTACATTTTAAAGTATTACTAAATTCACACATTCAAAAGCCCAATCTTCATATAATCCAGTGAGACAGAAGAAATAAAAATGCTTCTCTTTTGCTAATTTCAGAATTTTTTCCTTCACTTTGGATAGTCTGATGCCTATATGCCTTGTTGACGTTCTTCTTGCAAAATATCTTTTAGGCATTCTTTGAGCTTCTTGTACCTTGGTGTCTACATCTCTTGCAAGACCAGGAAACTTTTTCTGGATTATTCCCTTAAATATGTTTTTCAAATGTTTTACTTTTTCTTCTCCCTCAGAAATGCCTATCACTTATAGATGTGGTTGCTTTACAGAATTCTATATTTCTCAAAGGCTTTATTCATTGTTTTAAACTCCTTTTTTATTATTTTTGTCTGACTGGATTAATTCAAAAGACCAGTGTTCAAGGTCTGATATTCTTTCTTCTTCTTGATATAGCCTGTTGTGAAAGCTTTCAGCTGTATTTTCTAACTCCTTCAGTGAATTTTTAATTTCCAGAAGTTCCAGGGGTTTTTAAAAGATATTTATTTCTTCTTTCATATCCTGCATTGTTTCTCTGATTGCTTTGTGTTGGTTTTCAACTTTCTCTTGAATCTTATTGAGCTTCCTTACAATCCATATTTTGAATTCTTTATCTGTCATTTTCATTTTGGTTAGGATCCATTGCTAGAGAGCTAGTATGATCTTTTCGGGGTGTCACAACACCCTGTTTTTTCATGGTGCCAGAGTTCTTACGCTGGTTTCTTCTCACCTGAGGAAGCTATCACTTCTTATTTTTGAATCTAATTTCATTTGGATGGGACTTTTTCCCCCCTTGAAGGTGTGACTGTAGCGTATGCTGGGTAGGGTCCTTTGGTTTTGCTTCTTTAGTCCTGCACACTTCTGTTAGCAGGTGTCCTACTGTGCCATGCAGTTCAATCTCCTGGCCAGTAGGTGGCGGGTACAGGTAAGAGCCACCAGTGGCAGAAGCAGATTAGCGTGTGCTGTACCTTCTTTACTGTGAGGTGCTGTCTGTTCTTTCAGGTGATGGGCTGGTCTGTGAAATTCCGGGTTCCCTGTTCAGTCCAGGGAGACCAGATACAGGACACAACTGTGTGGAGCTGGACCACCAAGCTCGCCCACGAATAACCCAGTAATGAGCACAGGCAGCAGCCCTGACAGGAGTGGCTAGGATAACTCTTGGTAAAATGTGCCAAGGTCTCTTCAACGGGATGAGGGGGCTGCATCAACTCCACTTCCTAGACAGGCAGGATCACGACCTTGTCCTGGGGCTCCTGACTTAGTTTACATGCTGTCTATCTATCTCTAGGCTACTATGTAGCTGAGAGGAGTGACTTTGGGGAGGAAGCTCTTCCCTCAGCCCAGTACAACCAGCTTTGTGGCTCACCTGCTGTGTGACACACCTTCATGTAGATAAGGTGAGGGGCTCTGCATTTCAGCATGTGAGGGTGAGTTGAAGCTCGGGGGGTGCCAGCTGGTTGGTCCCAACCTCAGGCCTCAGGGGAAGTGGTCAGGTGCCAGCAGTGATGGATGGGGCTAAGCAGTCCTCCAATTCCCAGGTCCCTAAGTGGCCCACTGGATGGTGTGTACGGGGCCTGGAGGGGTTCCACTGGGACTGGGCCAGCAGGCTTATTCTCAGGCCCCCAAGGTTCAGGTGGTGGCTGTGATAGAGAGGGTGGGCTGGCCCCCTGTCACCAGCAGAACTCTTAGATGGGGCCAGGCAGAAGGCTCAGGTGCTGGGGGCCCCAGGTTCATTAGTTTTTTTCTTATGCAGCATTTAATTTGCCATCAGTCCTGTCTGGTGATGTTTTTTTAACTTAGACATTGTAGCTTAAGTCTGTAGTTGTTTGATTGTGGCTCTTTTTATATCTTCTGTGTTTCTCCTTAATATGGTCAGTCTTTTCTCTAGCTTCTTGAGCATGTGAAATCAAATTTTCATTATTGTTTTTATATCCTTATCTATTAATTAAGTTATCTGCATCACTTCTGGGTCTGTTTGGATTGGCGGATTTTTAAAATCTTTATTACGGGTCATATTTTTCTGCATCTTTGCATACCAGGTAATTTTTTTATTGAAGTTTACCTTATTTGGTGACAGATGTTTTTATTTCTATAGTCTTGAGCTTTGTTCTAAATGCAGTTAAGTAACTTGGGAAAATGTTGGTCCTTTTAGGTCTTGCTTCTTAATCTTTGTTCAGTAAGACCAGAGCAGTTTACTCTAGGGCTAATTTTTCTCCGCTATTAAGGCAGAACTCTCCTGATCACCCAGTACCAGAAGTGTGAGTATTTCTGCTCTGGCTGGTGGGGAAAGGAGCTGTTCTCAATCCTGTGGGAGCTTCAGGGATTGTTATCTCTAATGCTCAGGTAGTTTCCCACACACATAGACATTAGTACTCAGCTAAATAATAGTGGTGGACCCTCTGCATATCTCTGAAGCTCTTTCTTTCTGGTACTCTGCCTTATGAACTCTATTTCCATAGTCTCCCTAAACTCCCAGTTCAGTCTTCTCAACTTGGGAATACCGTCATGCCCTGCCTGAGTTCCTCTCCCTTTGCTGAGGCCCAGAAACTCTCCAGAAAATAAGCTGGGGCATTCATAGGGATCACTTCATTTGGTTTTTGTCTCTCAGTGATTCCTGTCTTCATTGTCTATGTACACTGTCTTTAAAAAGCATTATTTTGTATATTTTATCGATATTTTTAGTTGTTTAAGGTAGGAGGGCAAATCTAACCCCTATCACTCTATCTTAGCCAGAAGCAAAAGTCTATGTTGGATATTATTCTTGAGAGACAGGTTGGAGTAGAGGATACCACAGTGTATTTGGAGTCTAATGTCCTAGATTCAAGGGCCAACTCTACTGTTTGCTAATTGTCCGATCCAGGGCAAGCTATTTAACCTTCCTAACCTCTTTTGATGCTCAGTTTTCTATTTGGTAAAATGTTTACCCTGCAAGCTTGTGCTAAGAGTGAAATCAGATAAATTCATGTGGAAATACCTAGCTGAGCTCTTGAAACAAAAAGTACTTAATTTTTCCCCACATTTTATTAAGAGACATGACTTGGGTAAATAAAGCTGGCACAAAAACAGGAGGTAAGGTGTTGAATACTGGTTTTCTGAGTCCCAGTCCTATACTACTATATTATAATCACACTGCATCTTTTTTTTTAAAGATCCCAAAGTATATGTCACCTGGGTCACATACCACTCCCCATCTTTTTTTTTTTTTTTTTTTTCAGGAAAAAAACCGGTTCAGAGTTTTCAAATGCTTCTAGGAAGCAATTTTAGGGATTAAAATACCAAGTTAATGCATATAAGTTTTACCAAAATCTTTGTGATAGTATAATGGACACTCTTGAATTTACTTAAAGACAAGATCGTTTGAGGCCACCTTTTCCATTCTTCCCAGCCCTTGGTGCTATATAAGGATCATGCTTGATACCATTACCCACAGAGCCACCCTCAGTCAGAGGTAAGATATTATGGAGGAATGGAACTCTTAAGAACAAGACTGACCCAACCCATAGAATGTGACCTATTATCAGAGATAATCAAAATCTTTTGATGATTTACCTTGTTAAGCATGGAGAGAGAATTGGGAGTTGTGTGGTCACCTGCAACTGTTGCAGTGACATCTCAAACACTGAACTTGGAAAAGTATTTATACCCGTTCATGCCCTTCTCTCTCTCTTACACACACACACTTTCTATCTTACTCTCTCTTCTCCCTTTTACTCTCCTATGAATTTAGGTTACCGCATTCGCCTGGGCTCTAGTACTGACAAGAAGGACACAGGCAGACTCCACGTTGATTTTGCACAGGCTCGAGATGACCTGTATGAGTGGGAGTGTAAACAGCGTATGCTAGCCAGAGAGGAGCGCCATCGTAGAAGAATGGAAGAAGAAAGATTGCGTCCACCATCTCCGCCCCCAGTGGTCCACTATTCAGATCACGAATGCAGCATTGTTGCTGAAAAATTAAAAGGTATCAAGGGCACTCAAACTTCATGATTAAAAGAACTCTTTTCTTTAGAGAAGTGTAATAAATATAATTGCATTGTTGGCAGTTAACTTTGAGTTTCCTATTAATGGGCTCTAAACATTTCTTGTGTTAGAGCCTTGCAGATAGAGAGGTGAACCTAGTAACTCAAGAACCTGGAAATTTATCCCTACTACCTGTGTCTCTGCTCCTTCATTTTCCCAAGGGATGGCATTTTTCTCTTCAGACATCAGGTGACTAGGAATAAACAAGTTTCCTTCACTTTTCCACATCAGAGAATTTTAGGCATGATCTATGACTTGTGACCTGTAAGTGCCCTTTTTTGTAGTGGATACAAGTTAGGATTGAATTCCAAGTCAAATGAGTGAATCAGAATAGGATTTGGTGTGATCCTGAAAAACTCTAGTAAAATTCTCTTCTTTTTTTTTTGAGACGGAGTCTTGCTCTGTCACCAAGCTGGAGAGCAGTGGTGCAGTCTTGGCTCACAGCAACCTCTGCATCCTGGGTTCAAGCAACTCTTCTGCCTCAGCCTCCTGAGTAGCTGGGACCCACAGGCACATGCCACCACGCCCGGCTAATTTTTTTTTTTTTTTTGTATTTTTAGTAGAGACGGGGTTTCACCATGTTGGCCAGGATGGTCTCGATATTTTGAGCTCGTGATCCACCCGCCTCGACCTCCCAAAGTGCTGGGATTACAGGCGTGAGCCACTGCGCCTGGCCAAAATTCTCCTTTTAAAGATGAGAAAATGGAGGCCCAGAAAGTAGTCATGGTGTACGTTCTTCTTAGATTACTCAAAGAGTTAGCCACCACCAACTAAAATATAAAGACTTTTAAATCACTTTTAAAGGCCAATTTATTTAAAACAGTGACTGTGGAGACTTGCTTAATCAGACTGCTTAATCAGACTGCTTTCCCATTAGTTTTCATTCTTGTTCCCCTTGTTTGACTCTCAGCCATTTTGTTAATTTAACATTAATTGCTCTGCCTGGTCTCCTGTCTTAGTAGCTCTGGTGAATGCTGGTGTCCCATTGCTCTTATTGATAACACCAATCCAGCTCTAATGGTATGAATTTTCCCTGCTTCTTGTACTCTCAGGTCAGCAATATACTGTTAATCCTACCTTCCAAATAGGTCTCCTTCACCAGACATGTTTGTACCACATAGCCTAAGGGATTCACACATGTAAGAAACTGATTTTGACTTTCTTTAAGGGAAAAGCAGAAAACCTAGAGTCCAGAATAGAGGCACAGAAATAATGGTACATTTTGAAAAACCAGAAAGGCTGAAAGAAAGCATTGGCTAAGATGCCAGGTCCAAGACTTGCCTACTCACACAACACCAAACAAATTAGTTTACGTTTTTAAAAAATGAATTTAATGGTATGTGACCCTCAAGAGAAGCAAAAACTGAGCATCAACATAAAGTCTATATCTAAGTAATAAAGTGAAAAGCTGCTATAAAGGGGAGGCTGACTGCTTGTCATAGGTCTGCACTGAAAAAAGGGCAAGAGGCAAGAAATTCAAATTGCAATGAAGAAAATTTCCACTTGACATAAGGGTTTCTAGCCAGAGAAGGAGGTGAAGTCCTTGAATTGGGCTTCAATAGATATTAATGGACTCTCCCTCTCTGCAGCCTTTAAGAGTAGAATGTATATGTGGCTATCTTGGGGAGCCAAACCAGAAGCTTTGGAAGAGCTTCTCTACTATCTTAACTAATCACAGAATAACTCTTAAGTAGCTGCAGAAATCTACATGGAGCGTTCCTTGGGCAAAAGAAAAAAGGATGTGGAGAAATATAGAAATAAAATGAATTGCATCAAAATAGATCGTGACTGGGACTAAGTGGAAGGCCTGGGGCTGTGGATGGAATGCAGGAGTGATATTATAAAAGGTCGAAGATGTACATGTTTGTATCTGAAGAATGACCCACTTAACTCTTCCCTGAGGCTCCTTCCAATGCTGTAATTGCATGGATCCAAGGTAAAGTTACTGTCAAATTCAAGTTAAACTCAGGATTCAAGTTTGTTTTTCCTCATTAAAACACAGCACTGTAGAATTCTGAAGCCCCTCACTAATTTATCTTTTCTTCTGTCTCTCTCTCCCCTCCGCCCATGCGCTCTCTCTCTCTCTCTCTCTCTCTCTCACACACACACACACACACACACACACACACACACACACAAAATCAGGGAGGGTAAGAAATTTGCAATACGTGAAAGCTATATATCAGTACAGAAAACTTTTTTCAAGGAAACATTTCTCTTTCTGAAAATTCATCGTAGACCACAACCAATCTGACTACATTGAGCCTTCCATTCCTCCTGTTTGTCTGCCTGCCTGCTGCCTGTGTGTGCACCTGTGTGTATGTGTGGCTCCTCATCCTCAGCAATTCATTTAACCACCACTGCCAAAAACCACGGTGGCCTCTTTGCCAGCATGTTGGGAAAATAGATCAAAATTTGCTTACCTTTGTTGGCTATAAACATAATTTTTTTCAGATGATTCCAAATTCTCAGAAGCTGTGCAGACCTTGCTCACCTGGATAGAGCGAGGAGAGGTAAACCGTCGTAGCGCCAACAACTTCTACTCCATGATCCAGTCGGCCAACAGCCACGTCCGCCGCCTGGTCAATGAGAAAGCTGCCCATGAGAAAGATATGGAAGAAGCAAAGGAGAAGTTCAAGCAAGCCCTTTCTGGAATTCTCATTCAATGTGAGTGGAACTTAGAGTTCTGCTGGAATGGTGATAAGTCATTTCACTTAGTCACTTGCTCTCTCTACAGGAGCCCAGGTCTCCAGAGCCATCTTGTGTGAAGGCTCAAGGCTCCCTTTTTCACTGCCTTGTGCTCTCCTTATATTGCCGAATGCCCAAGCTCCAGTTTCACAGGAGACGTGTGGGCACCTGCCAGCTTCACCTTCTGTGGTATATGTGCTTCACCTTCTTAGGAACACTGCACTTTAGGCCACATCCTGTACTTTTACAACCCTGGGCCTCAGTAGAGGACTGGGTATTTTATTGATAAAGTTACGATGTAGCATTTTAAATCTGCTTTGCTTCAGATTTGTATCATTATCATCATGTAATATGCCTTTTAGAAACTCCATTTCAATGATCAGTATAGTTATATTTCCCAAAGTGATAGAATCAAAACCAAATTTGCTACTTCTACATTTTTTATTTAGTTTCCTCTCTTCTGCTACCTTTGGTGGATGTCATAGACAGTGGGAGGAGGTGAGAAGCTACCAACATGGCCATTTTCAAAAAGTTCTGCTCCACACCTATCTAAGGTCTCTGAAGTAAGCCAGACAAATCAAGTATTAAGTAATTTTTTGCTTACCACATTATAAAATTATACACTCATTTTTTAATATATATTTTATTGCACTTTAGGTTCTGGGGTACATGTGCAGAACATGCAGGATTGTTGCATAGGTACATACATGGCAATGTGGTTTGCTGCCTCCATCCCCATCACCTGTATCTGGCATTTCTCCCCATGTTATCCCTCCCCAACTCCCTACCTCTCACTGTCCCTCCCCTGGTCTCCCCCAACAGACCCCAGTTACACTCGTATCTTTTCAGTAATAAGTGTATTCACCTTACAAATAAGAGTACAATTTTATGGCTTTGCTTTTAAACAATTATGGTCCACTTTTTCCAAACTTGACTTCCCTGTACTTGACTCATACATAATTGTGATTAAGGGGGAGTTGTTTCATTTGCCACTTGTATTTTGAAAGTATACATGGGCATAAAATCCGGAGGCAAAAGCACATATCTTCAGGACTTCAGGATAAAATTTGAAAAAAGAGAAAGCAGCATGCATCATGGGAATATAAATCCTTAAGTCATTAGAAGACAGGGTGCAAACAGGGCCAAAAAAAAAACACCACCTCTGGATTTTCTTAATGTGAACACCCAACGTGACAGGGGCTCTTGTCTTGCTTTTCTTTTTCCCAAAGAGTCATGTCTAAGCTTCCCCTCTCTTGAGCTGATTGGGATAAAGCCCCAGAATATCTGCATACATTTCCCTGTTTGGCATTTTAAGAGACCTAGAAAAATACTCTCTAGGACCACACTTACATCATATTCTTTCCTAAAACTTATATTTCTCCAGTCAACAGTCTATCTAGGTAGACTTTAAAAATATTCAGTCCATCTTAGGTTTTGATCTGATGCTTTTGGTTAAACATACCTCAGAATAGTAAAGGCATGAATTCTGTTGAAGCAAGGAATCCAAGTTTATATCAGCAGGCTATGAAAGGAGCCAGGGGTAGAAAGTTCCTGTACAGTTTGCCATTTTCTTCCATGCTGTGCAGAGTCACTAGTGCACTAAAGACAAGACTAAATTAAAATGCATTTGCTAGGATTCTCCTGCCTCCATGAATTCACACTGCCTGTATTCAAACTCTAGTTGTTACCACTTTACCCTAAACCTCTGGTGTTCCCTTTTGTCTTTCTGTATGTTGATGTCTTTTCCTTTGAGTCCCCTTTAAAATCACAGTACCCCAACACATGTAGTCTTTTCCAAGCACAACCACAGCCTAGTATATTGTCATAACAAGAAGATACAACAAGCCTGATGCTTCTCTTTTATTTCATTTCTTGTCTCCTCTCTTTTTCCATCCCGGATGATACTCTGGCCTGATCCAACTCCTGATTCAATGCTGCAGTTGAGCAGATAGTGGCTGTGTACCATTCCGCCTCCAAGCAGAAGGCATGGGACCACTTCACAAAAGCCCAGCGTAAAAACATCAGCGTGTGGTGCAAACAAGCTGAGGTTGGTAACTTTTTATTCTGGTAGCCCCTCAGGGGGACAGTTTCTTTCTTTAACAAGTTATTGATTTGGAGTTTAGCCAGAATTAAATAGTGCCAAGCTCCCATGGTCACACAAGGCCCTAATGAAACACTAAGACATGTTCTATAGCCTGTCACTGTGTCCAGACCACCTGCTGTCGAAAGGGTAATAAATGGTGCATGTGCTGTGGTGAATGCATTCTGCTGGATGGAAACCCGGGTAGTGAAAATGCAGCTGGGATAATTATAAGTTTACTTCTCTAAGCTAGCTAGTCTTGAGTACAACAATAATTAGTGGCCTGCACTTCCAGTGTTAGTAATAGTAGGGCTGCCTTACATTTTTTAGTGTCTTGACAGAGGAGGACGGAAGCTGCCTGGTGTTACACTGGATCATTGAAATTTCTGAGCTGCTTTTATCAAACTCATTTAGTCATCTTTATGGGTGGATGCTTTAAAGGTAACAGGACCCTGATCTTAGGGTCCCACCTCTCTGCTTATACTAAATTGACGTTTTTAGCATAACACTAGAATAAATGTGATATGATTAGTTTGCTGTTCTGAATCAAAGTTTAAAAATCAAGATGGGATATTTCACTGATCTGCCATTGGAAATCCTGTTACATATGCCTCAAGCCCTCCTATTCCTATGGGCAACTTCGTTACCAAGCCCTAATATTTTCAATTTATATGTGCAGCAACTTTTTCAACTACATTTCTGGTCCTCTTTGCCAGCCTGGTAGCAGTCCCATTATATCTATCAATGTAAATTGTCATATTTCTTAACTTTTAGATGGCATTTAAAAGATATATACATTTATCATATGCTTTCACATTGGTTATCTCACCTGGGTGAGCCTCACAATAGACATGGTGGAGTGAAAAAGTATCGAACTGAGAACCAGGCATGAATTCAAGTCTCAGCTCTGACGTTAGAGCTGTGTGACTGAGCAGCTGATTCAGCCTTTGTCAGTCTCTATTTCTTCACCTGTAAATTCAAAACAATAATAAAACCAGTCTTCTAGGATTAGATGAGTTAGGAAATGTGTAAACAGTTTGAAAAATGTAGTATTGCTTCAGTTTTTATTAAAAACTTCATAAGAGATAGTGAGTAGGTATAGAATTCATGCTTTACATGCAGGAAAACTGAAACTTAAAAATGTTAAGTGATTTACACAAAATTACAAAGCTACCAAATGGACTAGAAATTATTCTTCTCACTGTGAGCTCTGGTGCAAAATGCTTTGTGGTCTTGAGCTAGTCATTTAACCTTTGCAAATCTTTGTTTCTTAACCTATAAAGTAAAGATAATTTCTCTGTCTGTCACGAGAATATATTAGATTGTTTGTGTGAGAATAATTTGAAAACCATGAAAATCCTTTAGGAGAAAATAAGCCAAACCCTGTTTATAAACTGATAGTATCTGAGCCATCAATTCCAGCACAGCAAAGGGATCTGGGAGTCACTAGAGAGAAATCCCTGAAGACATTCATCTTATGGGTAGGTAGAGTCAGAAAAAGCCAATAGCATCTTTACTTGTTTTTTAAAGAATTAGGTAAAAAAGGAAGCTATTATCTTACTGTAGCACAAAATGGTTTTAGAATCCTAGGGCTGCCTCATGTTCACCTTCAACAAACAAAATTCAACTTTGTGATTCAAATGTTTACTGATCACTTTTTCTATCTCAAGCACTATGACGGGCAACATAGAATGAAATGAGCTTTGCCTTTGGGCAGCCAGAAGGGTAATGAAAGTGATCAAGAGGAGGAGTGGAATTTCACACGCTAAATTTAAAATATCCAGTCTTCAGTTCAGAAGAATAAAAGTCAAGAGAAAAATGCTCAATGGGTCTTATGATTGTAGAAAAGCAATATGGCATTAAGTTTTACCTTCCCTTTGATACACATACACTTCTAAGCCCTCTTTGGGTTAAAAGAAGTTGGCTGAATGCCCCCACCCCCTTATAAGGAAATCCCTGACAGTACACCATTGCCTTTGTGCAGGAGGAAGGGAGCCTTTGGCTGGAATGCTGATTTGCCTAGGTCACAACACTTTTGTAAACTATGAGGCCATAAAATATTACCTATCAATATTATATTCCTCAAGGCTCTGTGTAGTTATTAGGTTGGTACAAAAGTAATTGCAGTTTTTGCCATTAATATTTCAAGCCTATTTATCTGGTGGGTATATACTTGAGTTTAATTAGACTCACAGTTGAGATAGCTATACATACCAGCGAGCTAGAGACTCTTAGGACCTACAGAGAACTGAGATATTTGCACCCTATTACCCGATATTGTGACAGAACTTCCTTGGCAGAGTGGTGATGATAAAGTACGTGACCAACATGACTTTTCAGGAGCTACATGTTTCATGATGTGACTTGTAGACTGTAGAAATCCCCCAAAATTCTTCCTGCTTCTTTGATTGAATTAAATTAAGGTCCACCTTGAATATCTTAAATTTTGTTCAGTACAACAGCTGAAAGTGGGACATAGCTCATAACCCCTCTGGTATTGCATTCCCTAAACCTAAAAGATCTCTTTCACTTTATATTGGTGCCTCTTTAAGTCATAGTTTGTTTTTGTTTCCATTTTTGTCCTTGTTTTTTTTTTTTTTTACCTCTGCAAACTTTTACTTGATAGCAGGCAACTATGAAGACTAAAAGGAGGTATCCTGTGGGAAATAAATAAACCATCCTCTTAAATTGTCGCTGCCTCTTAGCATCCCCTGAAAATCAGAACCTCTCAAAAACTTAATCAGCTAGGTTGGCTTATTTTTGACCTAGGCATCCAAGCTACATACAACTCATAAGCCAAGGGTTTCATGAAGGCGAAAGTTTCTGATGTTCAACTTTTTTACCAGTTGCATCTGAGAACAAGTCAACCAATGATATTCTCATGTCACAAAGTACCTGTTGCTTGTCTCATTGACATCCTTCTACCAGCAGCCAACGTGGTCTTACTCTGCTGAGAGAAAGGATATAGAGTATGAAGAAAAAGTTTCTACCTTTGGGGAGCCTTTGGTAGTATATGTCAAGCAGACTAGTTTGCTAATGGGTCTTTTTCATTGCTTTACTTTCCTGATTTATATGTATAGGAGGTCCCTGCTAACACAACTGAAAAGGGTATTAGGAGAAGGCTAAAGTCTCTCCCCTTACTAAAAGTTGGTTTCTACAGTGACCTTACTGGCAGTTCTGTGTATTGTAGGAACTCTTTTTCTGCAGAATCACTTAAAACCTATGTGTTTCTCTCTAACTGGCCTAGATTAGAAGCTAATGCTTTGATAATGTATAAAAACTAGAGCCATAACAATAAGCCCTAGGAAATAACCTCTTACATCCTCCCTCAGATGAGATTTGACTCGATTGGGCTAGAGGAAAAGGGACTTGATGATTGCTAGTATTCTTGTAAAATGAAATACTGTGATTGCTAAAATAACTTTCTTTCTAGAATTACAGGCCTACCATTTCAAACTCTGAAGAACTGTTTACAGATTGATATTCAAATAATCCGCATACCCTTGGTTTAGGACCCATCTGCATTAACACCAGTTATTGGCCTTCAGCCATCAAAAAACATCTAACACAATTTGGATCAACCTAATTTGTATTTCCACTGTGTATCATGCAATAGACATTAATTAAGAGCCTGAGTTTGTACTTTGCTTCATTATATTAAATGATATCGCAGAATCAAATTTTTACATAAGTGTAGAAGCTAGCTCCCTATCCTGTGCTTCTTCCCATTCCCTTGTCTGATCTCTTCTCCACCAATTTTCCTCTTAATATTGAAAGTCTTAGGCCAGGCATGGTGGCTCATGCCTGTAATCCCAGTACTTCGGAATGCTGATCCAGGCAGATTGCTTGAGCTCTGGAGTTTGAGACCAGCTTGCACAACATGGTAAAACCCCCGTCTCTCCAAAAAATACAAAAAATATCAGGGTGTAGTGGCCCACACCCGTGGTCCCAGCTACTTGGGAGGCTGAGGTAGGAGGATCGCTTGAGCCCAGGAGGTCGAGGCTGTAGTGAGCCATGATCACAACACTACACTACAGCCTGGGTGACAGAGCAAGACCCTGTTAAAAAAAAAAAAAAAAGAAAGAAAGAAAGTCTAGGTAAGTAGAATTTTGTTACACATTTAATAAGGAGCTTTGATTTTCTGGTAATCATGTTTCTATCATAAAACATGAATAAGATTAATTTAAATCCACATAAATTCTTGTGAAACTATAGTTAATTAATGTGTAATGATTTATGATTTGCTTACTTTATGATAAATCGAAAATGTCAGCTGGTATAAAAGCAGTTCTTTTCATGCATTTTCCTGTCTCAGATTTCAGTTTCATTCTATATGAAAGTGCATTGTCCCCCATTATAGAGTAGTGTGTGAATTTCTAAGCTTCAGAAAAAGTTATTGTTACAACAGTCGCAAAGTCATTATAATGTGCTTCAAGAAATCACTAACAGTTCACTGTTGAAATGAAAAATATCACAGATCTACTGTGGGCAGGAGAATGGTATAAAAACTTTAGGAGGGCTATCTTACCTTTTCTGATGTAGTCTACCAGTACTAGTCAATTTCAGGTAGAGATTTACAAATGCAAATTGCTGAAAAATGTTTCTGCCTACCATTGCCACTCTTTTGGTTTCAGCACTGGATTCAAAATGCCAGGATGGGAAATGGGGCAAATCTGGGAGACAGCTTTTTCTTTGCTGTCTCCTCTTCAGTGGCTCAGAGATTTTCTCCTGCCTGCACCTATGTCCAAACTAGGTAGAATGCCTTCCTCAGGTTCATGTCACCTTTTAGCCCTTCACTCTGAAAGTATTAGTTAGGATTTCCTTCCCAAAGTAGAACTTTTCTGATCCAACAAGAGAATATGGAAAACAAGTAGCTCAGACATCAAGTGTTTTAAGGGAAAGATTTTCAAAGAATTAAAACCTCACTCCTTATTTTGGGGGATGCTGTCACTTACTAAATGTTCCCAATAAGCTTACTTTACTATAGAACCCCATAACCTCTGCTGTTCTCTTTATCTCCCATGTGTGTGATATAGTATTGGGTATTTCTAGAAGAACAATGATATGAGTCTGTGTTTCTTTGTAGCTAGAAAGGATTGTCTAGTGGGGGCTCTGAGCTCTGCCACTTTGCCTGCCTGACTGAACAACTTAGGGAAACATACCCCTTAGTTTTTCTTATCCTTATTTTATTATCAGTTAAAGCAACTGGTGATTCTTATTCCTGAAGTACTTTGAAACATTTAGGTAAAATTTGTTCATAGGTCTGTTATATTTCTGGGGATTTATGAGGATGTGAAAGACTCTAGATAAGCTGTATCACATAGTTTTTGAACTTCTATGTTTCTAAGAAAATATTATACTTTTTTGCCCAACTGGAAGCATAAAGATGTTTTGTGGATGCTGAAAAGCTGGAGGACATGTCTTAGCTCTCAGATATTCCTGCCCTGGGACATTTCCCTAGAAGGAACATACTTTACTCTTCTGAGAAACACAATAACCTTCTCAGGGTTATGTGACATGTTTGTGAATTAAGAGTTGGTCTCTGCTTATACTTTCTAACAGTCTACATTTTTATTAGGCAACTAGAAAGTCACGACTTTTCCTGATGAAGTAAGTTGTACAATATTCGAATTTGCCAATGACAAACTTCATTATAATCACCTTTCCCCATAAGAGCTCTTTAATGATAACTGAAAATCAGACTCCTGAGATAGAATGAATTATCAGAAATGAGAAATTCCTTTATTGTTCTCTGTCCAATGAGTTTGAATAAGACAAAGCAAATCTCTTGACACACCCCTTTAAAGTTCATTTTTCTCAAGCAAGTCATTATTTTTATTCTATTTTAAGTAATGTCCCTGAAGCACATGGGAGATGCTTTGTTAGCATCTTCTTTTTCTATTCTTATCAGTTGTGATACTAAATAGATCATGTTTTAAAAAAGAGTCTTTTATTTATTTTTAGTAAAAACTTAACTTGAGTTAGAAATCATTACTTTTCCTGATAAAAGGAATAAAAAGGAGGATTTTCTTTGGGTTAATGACTAACTATACCATCAATTATTTAAAAGTTCATTTGAAATATACATAATTCCCCTAAATGGAGGCAATTTTCACGGACAGCTTCAGATATTTCCTGTGTACAGCCCAGTACAAGCTAATCCAAGCAAGGAATTCTCAGTTCAGTGCTGAGGAGCCTCTGACAGGCATTAATTGGCCTCCAAATGATTGTGAGCTGCTTCAAAATGCAAAGTTATTGTGCTTACCTTTTTAAAGTGACTTTTCTCATGGGATCTTGATCATTTTCAGTGTTTTTCATGCCTCCCTGAAGGTCTGCATTTATATCTGTTAGCAGTTCCCTTCAGCCTGAAGAACTTTCTTCAGCATTTTCTATAGTGCAAGCCTGTTGGTGAATTCTTGCATTTAATTTTGTCTGAAAATATACCTCAGCTTTATTCTTGAGAGAATTTGTCTCTGAATACAGAATTCTGAATAAATGGATATTTGTATTTTTTCATGAACTCTAAAGATTTTATTTCACTAAGTTCTGGCCTTAAATTGTTTCTGAAGGAAGTCAAAGATTCAAATTGTTGTTCCCCTCTATATAATGTATTGCTTTTCTCTGGCTGCTTTCCAGAGGTTTATCTTTAGCTTTCTGCTGTTTTAATATGATGTGCTTTTTTCACACGTATCCTGCTTGGGGTTGGCTGAGCTTTTTGAATATGTAGATTAATGTCTTTCATCAAATTTCAGAAATTGCCAACCCTTGTTTCTTCAAATCTTTTTAAGTTATTTTTTATCTCCTCTTTTTCTGCAGTTTTATTTACATGTATCTTAGACCTTTGGATGCAATCTCACAAGGTCTCAAGGCTCTGTTTTTTAAAATATATATATATCTTTCTCAGTGTTCTTCAGATTGGATACATTTGTATTGCTCTCTCTTTAAATTCTCTCATTATTCTGTCATTTATATTCTACTTTTAGGCTTGTCTGGTTATTTTTATTTTAGATATCATTTTCTAGCTGTAGAATTACCCAGACGTGGTAGTTATCAGACAAGGATTACAAAGCAGCTATTATAACTATTCTCAGTGATATAACAGAAATATGCTCATAATGAATGAAAGGATAGGTAATCTCAGCAAAGGAATAGAAATTTTTTTTAAAGAACCTTGATTCTTTTCATTTTCAGACAAAAGAACGCTTGGCTCCTTTTAAAAATTTCTATTCCTCTGCTGAGATTTTCTATATTTTCATTCATTATATTTTCTTTACATCATGAGCATAGTTATAATAGCTGCTTTAATTTTTTGTTTGCTAAATTACCACATCTAGGTTATTTCAGGGTTGGTGTCTGTTAATTGTCCTTTCTTTCAGAAATGGGCCATCTCTTTCTAGTTTTTATATGTCAAGTAATTTTGGGCTGTATCCTAAATATTTTGGCTATTATGTTGTGAAGACTCTGGATTCCGCTCTGTTCCTTCAAAGAATATTGACTTTGTTTTCTTTTGTTTTAATGGTCAATTTACCTGGTTGAATTCGAGATGGGAATTCTATATCTTGGATAGAAGCTTGGTTGTCATTTCAGTTCTTTTAGCCTTAGCTGTGCTGTTTGGAATCTTCCTTGTGCTTTCTTGGCTCAGGTATCATGCAGACATTTGAGCAGATCTTATATACAAAATTTGAAGTTCTTTCCCCCTGCCTCTATTGTCTTCTTTCTGGGATTCTCTTCTTATTTTCCAGTGGCAGTAATTGCCCTGAACTGTCCTTGAGTTCTTTAGGCCATAAAGGCTATGGGTTTGCTATTAGAAATTTAGCCATCTTATGAGGTGCTAACTCTGGTCTACCCTCAGACTAAGTGGCCCTTTAAAAAACTAAGAGACTCACCCTATGCTATTCCTTTCTTCTAAGTGTCAGCTTCTCTTCAGAATATGTCTACCTCAGATGAAATGGCCCTTTAAAAACTGAGAGACTCACCTATGCTATTCCTTTCTTCCAAGTGTCAGCTTCTCTTCAGATATGTCTGCTTTTGTTCACTCTCCAATATCATCAAATAGTTATGGGTTTTGTTTTGTGTTTTGACCAAAGATTATAGTTATTATCCATGGGAGGGTTGGTCTGGTAGAATATTACTCCTGAAATCTCATCTTTGCTGTAATTTCTAAAACTACAAAAACTCAATTAAGAGTTATGTTGAACAAAACTATAAAAGGACAGAGAAGAGGATGGCAAGCAGCAAAATTAAAGGGTCCAACATGGGCAGGTGAAATTGACAGAACCCTTAAAAGAAAGTCCACAAGTCTATGTAAGAGGTAAAATGTTTTTCATGGCCAAAAGTACTTTATAATACGAGAGGAATATAACAATCATAGACTCCTAGAGCTCTGGGTCTGGAAAGAAAGCCTAATGCAAGACAGAGTGTAACCAAGTCTGCTTTGTCTGAGACTGTTTTACTTTCAAGATGCCTCTTTGCCATAAGAGTGTTTGGAGAATTTTTTTCCTAATATGTGAGAAAAAATGCTTCTTTATCTTATCCTTAACTCTGTTCATGTCCTCAACATTTTCAAAGCATTCCCACCTAAAAAGCATACCTCTTAACCTTAGGAAATTCGCAACATTCATAATGATGAATTAATGGGAATCAGGCGAGAAGAAGAAATGGAAATGTCTGATGATGAAATAGAAGAAACAACAGAAACGAAAGAAACTGAGGAATCAGGTAAAGATAATTCTGTTTTGTTATTTAACAAACATGTACTTGCAGACAAGATATTTTCAAACCTATAATACCCAGTAAAGTATGGACACCAACCCATCAGTATGGATACCAGCTAGAAATAGTTGGTAGGCCATATATGTACACATTGACTGAACATCAGACCTATGGCTACAGGATTTTCTGTAATTTTCATTTGCATTGAAGTGCCTAATGAAAAGTGGGCTTTCTTTTTCTTTTCTTTTTTTTAGGTGGAGTCTTGCCCCATCACCAGGCTTGAGAGCAGTGGTGTGATCTTGGCTCACTGCAACCTCTGCCTCCCAGGTTCAAGCAATTCTCTGCCTCAGCCTCCTGAGTAGCTGGGACCACAGGTGCACACCACCATGCCCAGCTAATTTTTTGTATTTTTAGTAGACACATGGTTTCACCATATTGACCCAGCTTGTCTTGAACTCCTGTCCTTGTAATCCACCCGCCTCAGCCTTCCAAAGTAATGGGATTTACAGGCGTGAGCCACTGCAGCCGGCCAAAAGTGGAATTTCTTTTCCAAAAAGCGCTGGGCATTTAGGCAGCTCTAACCTAGTATAGTCAGAACCTCTCTGTGAGACAGAGGTTATGTTATAGGTCCTTGTGGGACCCACACAGCAAACTTTTTGAACAATAGGACAATACCCCCCCTTCAATTTCATAATAAATTATCTTGGATGGACGAATTACCACTGCAAATGATAAAATAGCCAGAAGACTACTCTTTTCAGGCAAACCCTTTCAGACAATCTTAGAAGTTAGATTATAGGAGATACAGTGGAAAAGGCACTGGACCTAAAGTTGAAACACTTGAGTTCTAGTTCCAACTCTGTCCTTCTTGACTTAGGAGGGACTTCTTCCCCACTGAGCCTCAGCTTCCACACTTGTAAGAAGTACATTATAAAAACCATCTAACAGCCAGGCATGGTGGCTCACGCCTGTAATCTCAGCACTTTGGAAGGCAGAGGTGGGTGGATCACCTGAGGTCAGGAGTTCGAGACTAGCCTGACCATAATGGTGAAACCCCATCTCTACTAAAAATACAAAAAATTAGCCAGGCATGATGGTAGGCTCCTGTAATCCCAGCTACTCGGGAAGCTGAGGCGGGAGAATCCCTTGAACCCGGGAGGAGGACATTGCAGTGAGCCGAAGTCACACCATTGCACTCCAGCCTGGGCAACAAGAGGGAAACTCCATCTCAAAAAAAAATCTAACAGGGATTTTGTGATGGAAAAATTAGTTTATCCATTTATTTAATAACTATTACATACTAAGCACTATGCTGGAGATTGGAGATATAGTTGTATACTGTTCCTGCTGTGTGTGTGTGTGTGTGTGTGTGTGTAAAAGAGAGAGAGAGAAATTATAATTTGAATCTGACTTTCCTGGTTCCAGTACTTGTATAGTGAAGCCAGCAGCTCTGTAGCCATTTGAGTGGTCTTAGAATTTTCACCCCATAAATAGAAACTCTGAAGGAAGGAAAGAAAAATACCAAGTAAGACTTTTAAAAAGATATTCATTAGCTGTTACACCTGATTTTTTTTTATTTTTGCCATCTGTTTGAACCCTAAACATAACAACTGCTATCTATATTGAATACACCATTTGTAATCAGTGGTTAGCTAGCATTTTCTGTATAGTCAACTAATTACTGCAAATAAATGCTATAAGCTTATAGCCAAAATAAACAAAGAATAGAATAAGAATTGAACTATTCAAATTATTTAAGTGCTTATATAGGATGTTTTGTAGCTGATTAATCTTTCACTTATATGATTGTTTACACGTCAGTATCTACAGTATTGTACAGAGTGTTTATCCAGTGTTACCATGAAATAAATGCCACCATAAGTTTGAGCATCCACTTGATATATTGCTGAGTTTGTGGAGTTATTGGGGGAGAAGAGGGGTGAATGGGAGATTCAGACTGTACGTGCTTACTAGGGTTATATAATTGCATTTTGCTTCTGTATCTCTTTTGAGTTAAAAGCTCTATTGGCTACTGCACAGAGTCTTATTCATTTAGAGACTGGAAACTCCCTGACAGATCATCTTATAGCTATTTTCTTTCCTGTTCCACATGCCAGGATGCTGCTTTGTCAAATAAAGCTATCTACAATAGACTTAATGGAGCTTACCAAATAGCTTTTCTCCCAGAAGGTTTCAATTCATTTTAATTCAAGGACTTGTGTGAATTTTTCTTCCCCTCAATTGTATCTAATTCTGTTATCTCGCTTCTGTAGTACTCAACTGCAGAAATCCTGCTCAATGTGAGTCAGTGAATAGGTCCTCAGTTTTTATCTAAAGCGGCTACATGTTTTAGCTATCACTTGGTTCCAATTAAAAGCTTAAGCAACTAGATCTCAAAGCTAATGTTTTTTTCCCCTCTGTCCGTGCTATCAAACTTGAATTATAGTAAACTATGGCATGTTTCTGGTTAAATTTTACTTCCCAAAGAAAGTAAAACCAGCCTAGAAGTCTCAGTTACCTTTCCTTGGAGTGCCACAAAATTTCTATTCTTTGAGAGACTCCATATTAGCCAGCCCATATTTGTGATACAGTACTTTAAATACTCTTGCCATGAAAGAAAGGACTGATGTACACAATCTGTTGAAGAGGGAGAATTACATCAAAGCAAATCATGGTAGTGTAAAATTATTTCATTATCTTGTTACCCACGATGGAAAGTACTGTACCCAGTACACATAAGAAAAGCTGTTCCCTTTCAGCACCCATCTTCTGCTCTCTTTACTTAGACTAGTGGTTCTCAGACTTGGTATACTGAAGAATCATTTGGGTTACCTTTTAAAAATCAGATGTCAAAGCTGCAGAATCTGATCTAATATGTCTGTAATGGGGTTGAGGAATCTGCATTTTCGGCCATCCTAAATGATTTCAATGCTGGTGGTCCAGGTAGCACATGCGGAAAACATTGACTTAGACTAATTCTCCTTCATTGTTCTGGCCAAAGTTTTTTGTTCCCTTGATATTAATCTAATCTCTTTCTCCCCCCCTGACCTTTTATTTTCCATTATTTCCACTTTAAGAGTTTGGCCAATTAATTAGCAAGCACTATGTCCTATAAGATGATGGAGATAGATATATAAATATGTGTAAATCCACAGAAAATTTTAGAAATACCACTTGCTACTAACATGGAAGGTATTGATTAGAATGCAGCAAGGCAAGAAATATCAGGTGTAGGCCAGAGTTGTCAAAGTAAGTGAAAAATTGATCAGGTCTTTGAAAGATGATAGGAAGGAAGGTAAGAAAGCAACTTGATGGTGGGAGGAAAGAAGGGAGTAAAAGGATTGGGGGGGCTCAAAGAGGAAAATAAGCATGATGTTTACAGGGGGATAAAAGACTGAGTAGAGTAGATGGGTCCAACCAAATTATGGAGGGCCATGAATGCCAACCTTAGACTTCGCATAGTAAGCAATATGCCACTATAAGCACATCTTGACCATGGTGCTAATATGATGAAAGCAACATGAATTATACATTTTAAGAGATAATCTTGAATTAAGAGAATCTAACCAGAGACTTTTACAGAAGTGAGAGGTAAAATGATGAAGGGTAGGACCCGAGTGAAGGCAAGAGGAACTGAGACAAAAAAAATGGTAGAAGAAAAGGCCGGGCGCGGTGGCTCAAGCCTGTAATCCCAGCACTTTGGGAGGCCGAGGCGGGTGGATCACGAGGTCAAGAGATCAAGACCATCCTGGTCAACATGGTGAAACCCCATCTCTACTAAAAATCCAAAAAAAAGTAGCTGGGCATGGTGGCACATGCCTGTAATCCCAGCTACTCAGGAGGCTGAGGCAGGAAAATTGCCTGAACCCAGGAGGCGGAGATTGCGGTGAGCCGAGATTGCGCCATTGCACTCCAGCCTGGGTAACAAGAGTGAAACTCCGTCTAAAAAAAAAAAAAAAGGAAAGAAAGAAAAGAAAAGAAAAGGAGGCAATAGATGGAATGAGATTAAAGATGCTAGGAGTCATTTTCAAGGAATATACCTAATTCTTGAGTGCCAGATGGATATAGATGATGAAGAAAAGGAAAGAGCCAAAAATGAGTCTGTGTTTTCTAGTTTGAGAAATTGGAGGCCTGTTGGTTGTATTGGTTCTCTAGAGATGTCATAACAAAGTACCACAAAGTGGGCAGCCTAAATAACAAAAATGTATTGTCTCACAGTTCTGGAAGCTAGAAGTCTGAGATCAAGATATCCTTAGTGTTAGCTCCTTGTGAGGGAGAATCTGTTCCATTCTTGTCTCTTACTTTCTGGTGATTTTCCAGCGATCTTGGGTGTTCTTTGTCTGGTAGATGCATCATCCTAACATCTGCCTTCACATGGTATTCTCCCTGTGTGCCTGCCTATTCCTATGTTCAAATTTCCTCTATCAATACGGATACCAATCATATCAAGTTAGGACCCACCATAATGACCTCATTGTAGCTTGACTACCTCTGTAAAAAACCTGTTTCCATATAAGCCAGATTCCGAGAGCTTCAACTTATCTTTTTTGAAAGGACCCAATTCAAACTGTAACAGTAGAACTGACAGAAATGGACTAATGGATGGGACTGATTTGCAGAATATGATGAGATGAACTGCAGATAGTAGGTTATTGAGAAATGGGCAGAAGGGATTTGTATTCAAATTACAGTGAACAAACTAGAAGGAATAGTGGATGGTAGTGTAGAGGTGTTGTCAGAAGCCCTGAGAATTTTATTAAATGAGTATGAAAAACAAGTGAAAGAACAGCAAAAGGTTGAATACAGAATTCGGGGCCCCACCACAGTAAGGGAGAAGGAAAGAGGAGTTTGCAGAGGAGTTAGAAAAGAAGCAGTTGTGAGAGGCTGGAAGAAAACTAGAAAATAATTGGGTTGTGGAAACCAAGAAAAGCTTTTATAGAGTAAGTAGTCATTGACATTAGTCAGTGTTACAAAGAAAAATAGGAATTCAGAGAACAGTGCTGGGC